TTTTTTTTGTGGGGTTTTTAATTAATTAGTATGTTTCCCAGGTTTTAACCACTTTTTAAATCTATTTATTTACTAATATAACCATAACCTTAATTTCGTTAACTGTTACCATAGACACATTCCTACATACGATATATATATTATTAAAGATTTGACATAAAAATGTAATTTTATTAAAAAAATAACTTAATTGGGTTAATTTAAAGCCGTTTTAATTAATACATAATCAAGACTGATTAATAAATTTTAAAGGAAAAATTAATTTCTGCTTTCAACGACATTATTGCTTTCGGGGATAGGTTATTGAGTTACAACCAAGTGAGAAGGCAATAATAACATAACCTCAAAAATTTTAAAGGTTATGTTAATCCTAATTAAAATTAATGTTAAAAATCTTTACTAGTTTAAAGCAGTTTTTTAAAAAAAGATATAAAAAATATATAACTAAAAGTTCCGAAACAAATATTTGTTTAAAAAAATGTCAAACAGTGAAAATTTAGAACTTATTAAATTGTTACAAAAAAGACTGGAATTAGAAGACTATAAAGGAGCCCAAACAATCGTAACAAATTATGACTATAAATGTTTAAAAGAAGAGGATTATGAACAGTTTGTTACGTTTTTTATGAAATATCTTAACGAAGATGTAGAGAAGAAAAATATTACTTTGTTTTTAACGAGTAAATCAATTCTGTGTGTTGTTTCAACATGGTTCAATCCTGAAACAGTAATAATAGAATTAATTCAAAAAATACCGGAATTAGTTGATGATTTGTCGTTTTTGTCACTGCTGGTTCCATTACAAAAAGCTTTATTAGGGTTACATACTGGTAGGGATAGTTTTTTAACCTGGAGCTTAAATTCTATACAGAAATATATAGAAAAATTGGATATCCCTGATGATAATTATAATTTAGATGAAGAAGAGAGACTTCTTATGGACAGTGATGATTCATTTGATAAAACCACTCATTTATTGTTGGACTTGCTCCCTTTCTATGATCCACTAATAAAAAAATCAATCAATGATGAAGCATGGAGACTAATTTTGAGTGTGTTCTTAGTAAAACTTCTAGGAAAGCCTTTGGCTTATTTTGATCTAACATCAACAAGTTCAAAAAGTAGAGCTAGAAGAATTGCTGAAGAAGTTGTTGAAAAGTATATCAATATTGAACCAGACATCTACTTGCTTTTGGGTTCAACAAAATATCCAGAAAACGAAGAAAACATATGTTGTAACAAATTAGCTGTTGCTGTTCTGTTTTACTTAATACTTGTTGAACATGTCTCTATCGAGAAGATTCCAAAAGTGTATGATCACCTATTTGTTTTCCAATACTCGTTGCATTTATTAGTAGAATTGTTTACACAAACTAATCAATTTGCAACTCAGTATGCCCTAGAATTAACCAATACTCTCTTAAATTATGTGCAAAATATCAGTTTGCCATACAATTTACTAGATGATGATGTACATTGCAACTTTTGCAAAAGTCTTTCTAAAGTTACAATTTATGATACTTTAGAAAGCAATAGGAAGAAAGCCTTACTACTGTTAACTAAATATTTATATACGTTTGAAATTAGAGGCAGATATCTCATAATTTACAATTTAGTTGATATTGTAAATCATACTGGATTAATAAGTTTTTTAATAACAGAATACAAACAGATGTTGGTCAAAGAATTGGACAAAATTAAAGATGAAAATAAGGAAATTTCACAATTCTTCTCTGGCCAAAAACTGAACAGTTTGATTAATAAATTCTGTTACTTACACAAAAGAGAAGAAAGTGATTTGGTTGAACTGGCAGATCAAATAGTTGCATCGTTAAATTTTTTAAGATATCTAATTATTCGCGATAGGGATAATGTAACTAAAATTTGGGATATTCTTCCCAGATTAGAAACTACCTATTTTGAGCCTTTAAAGAAAGGTCTTGTATTGTCAAGAGCACATTACGAATTAAAAATTAAAGAAATAAATGAAGAGAAAGAAGACTGCAAAGCAACCAGTAATAATGAAGTAAGCATTACTGTTGGCAAACAGACTTTACCATCGATGCCAAAATCTGAGAAATTAAAAGTTTTACATTCTTCTGTCACTGCTTTTGATGTGATAGAAAGTGTACTTAGTCGCGTTAAGGAATTAATTAATACCAGTAATTTTTTAAAAGAGGATCACCCATGATTTCTCTGAGGAGAATTCCTTCGGTCATATACTGAAATGTTTTCCTATTGTATTATTATAATTTATATCCAAAAAATGATGTTTTTACCTTTATCTTTGGCTGGTTTGTACATGCATCGAAACGCACAGCATATCCGACTGTATCGCCCTGTACAAACGTTCCCATCTCATCCGCGACACGATTAGCTAATGATATTGCTGCCACCTTTCTAGGTTCGCACACCCCTATTTGTGCAGGCCATTCTGCTTCAATCAGATACTAAAAAAATGACCTTCTAGTAATGAGATAAGCTTAAGTTCCATCGAAATAAATAATTACATGATTTAATGCAATTCTAATATTTTGATTAAAAATAACATAATACAAAACCCATTGTTAGGTATCCGTTTGGTGAATTTGCCCCAGACTAAAGTGAATTTCATGTTTCTGCTGCAAACTGTCCTTGGCCTAAAAATAGTTAACAGGTTAACTTATAGAACCATCTTTTTTTATGGCTTATTACAGCCTTTTTCTATGTTCTGTAACTCGTTCAGGACTTAAAATAAAAGACATTTTTTACTCACAAAAATTTAATCTCACTATGTTTTCAAAGACTCTTAACAATGATTTCAAATTGTAAGTTGCTAACAAGAATTTGTGCTTGTAATGTGCTAATATTAGCTGTAATTATTAGTTACAATAACAGAAATATAAATTCCTTTTAGCTTGGGGCCATGCCTGGAAGTAGTCTTCCGTTAAATTAAATCAAAATTAATAATTAAGTATCCACTGCTTTAATTAAATAAATTAAAATAACTGCCACTCCAATAACTTGGACNTTCACAATAGAAAATTTAATATTATTTGATTACAAATAGACTTCCTCTATCTCTATTCCTTCTGAAGTTGATACAGCAAAACACATTGCAGTTTAAATACTAGGAATAAATCATATTTTCTTTAAAATTATAGCACAATATATTTGCATAATTGCCTGATATATTAAACCGTGCCCAAAAAAGTATGAAAACAATTATTAATAAGATAAATTGACTGACTGAAGAAAATATATTTTCTTGTGTCTTTCACGGTCGAAGTTGTATTTCTTCTGTTTAATTAAATTATATACTATGAACTGCTGTTGTGTTCAATTAAACTTTTAAATAACACCATCCTATCACCACTAATAAAATAGCTAAAAAATAACTAAGGAGAAGGTGTAGCTACATAGTATGGTGTGACTAAATCGAATCGAATACTGTTGTTAAAAACACAAAAAGCAAGCAATAAGTAGATTAGTCATAATTTATATGTATTATCATAATATCTCAAAATGTTTGTTACGTTATGTTGTTTCCATTAATTGCACTACAAGAAGGAAAAAACTTTTATGTAATATTTTTAACGTAAATTAAAAACAAGCTTTTACTGCTTACATAAGAATTGTTTGTGTCAATGGAAATAATTTAACAAAAAAAGACATTTTAAGGTGAGTAAACTGAAATTTAAAGGTCTAAGGCCTTGTCGTCCTTTGACCTTCGTAAATTAAAAATATAAGTAACAAACACTTATTAATTATTTTTAGTGCTTATGTGTAGCATGTTTCTTTTTAAACGTACGCCATAGGAATGTAAAATCACAGGGAAATCAGACCCTCTTTCTTGTCTTTGGGTGCTTGTTGAGTGGTACTAGTGGTATTAGTGCTTGTTACTGTCGGTAAGGCTTCGGCGGCCGCGGCTCTTTCCGCTAGGAATTTCTCGAACTCACTACTAGTCATCGATTCTTCGGTACCAGGCTAAACAAAAATAGAATTTTTAATAACACGAATAAATATTAAAGGTCTCAACATTTCAAGTTTAAGAAAAAAAGAGTGTGGAACGACTGGTCACACGCTCCACGCGTGAGTGACTAAAAGGCACGTCATTGTAAATGTGTCTATATGTAAACAAAACTCAAAAGCAATGAAAGTTTATCGTGGCAGTGTCCACATGACTAAAAATACTAGGATGTTTTGAACTGGGATTCGCGTAGCGCATCTGGAACCTTCGGTAACATTTAATTTAGATTTTAATGTAAGATAAAAAGTGATAAGTAACAGCCAAGGAAATCAGAACATTGAATGTACTTACCGTCTGTCCAAGCCACGCCTCCATCTCGTCAAAATCGCTGTCTCGACTCTATAGAAACACAACCCAAAAACTAAGCACATTTAAAAAATAAAAGCAGAAAACAATCCTTAAATAATAAAATAACGATCACAGAAAAGAAAAAAAAATTTTCTTAAATTAACGAAGAAAAGAATTACGACAGAAAAAACATATTTTTATAAAATAGAAATATCTTACCGTTCGGGCTTGTGCTGCCAAACTTAATCCTCCGGATATCTGATCAGGTTCCCTGTTCTCTTTATAGGTACTGCTACTAAAAAAAAATAATTTTAATTAGAAGGCAAATTAATGTAAAAATTGTTAATAGCGCAACATAGTATCTCAATTTTTATTGATATACATGTAACTTACTCTGGTTTTGTTCTATCAAATGAGACATTTCGAGACTGGGCAAACATGTCAAATTCATCGTCCCCTTTGGGGCCACTTTTTGCGGAAATAGTTTCTACTTTGGCCAGTTGAGCTGACGCACTATTACTAGACATGTCTGTAGAAAAACACACATAATAAGAAATATTAAAAGAAAAGTTTTGAATTGTTACTGTGTATATGTAATATGAACAAAAATCATTAAGTAGGTATAAGACTTACCAAGTTTACTGAGTCTATCTGAAAGGGTATTAGACTCAAAATCTATTAGACTGTCATCCTGTGGGGTAGCAGCAGTGACGCCTGCGTTTTGCGGGGGCCCCATAGCTTTAGCAAGAACGGCTGAAGCTGCTGCTTGTCCCCCTGCTTCCCTATTCTTCTCCCACCGACTGTATCTCAAAAATAGGTTGTTCATATCATCATTAATTCTTAATAACTCAGCTGTTAGATCATCATTTGACAGTTTGCTTATAAGATCGACCAGCCTTTCTTGCATTTTGTGGCATGTTTCATTCAAATCCTGCAACAAATAAGCCCCAGATGCACAGATCTATTTAATTTCATATTTTTTTTTAAATTACTTGAAGTAGTTCAAGTTCACTTTCGGGGTGTTCTTTGCCTGGTTGAAATTCACTCAACATTTCTCCAAGAATTGCCATATTCGTTTGCACAATGTCCAATTCAGATTGTAGTTTTGTTCTTTGTTCAGGAGTGAGAGTCCCCCCGGTGGGCACAGGAGCATGTAGTGGAGATACTTGAGGTACACTGACAACTTCTCTAACTGGCTGAACTTCTGGTTCAACACTCTAAAAAAGAGAAAAGATTTCACAATGACATATACATAAAAAGTAATTGCCTTTAGAACATAAGAATCATCCCCACACATTTTTCAATTAATTTCTCTTCTTTGTCATATTTATTTATTTTAGTAACGTTCCCCCTATTAATATTATATCCTATAGTTTACCCTCCTTCAAATGAAAAAGCATCGTTGTAAAGATATATTAAAACCCAAAATTAAAACAGTTGTTTTTTGTAAATGTTACTTAAAGTAAATTGTAAGCTAGTCTTTTTTATAAAAGGTGACTAGTGATAATAAATATTTTTTGGCATATATTTTATAAACAAAACCTACACATGTGAATGTGAGACAAGTGTTTGTTAACAGTACTTTTTATTTAACTTCATTTCTGAATAGATAACATAATATCAATATTTAACAATATAAGTACCTTATCATTGTTTACTGTTTACTTTTTAGTCATTTTACCATAAAAATGAACTCTAAATTTTAAAAGCAATATTTTGAGAGTTAAATTAAGTACCAGTTATAATAATAGAGTAGTTATAGCTTCAGGGTAATAGATCCATGTGTATCCAACATTTTTCATTTTTTCTTACCCTTTGAGGTGTCAATATCGGTGCCATGGCATCTAAATCTGCTGGTGGAAATTCAATTCCTTTATTGATAAGGTCTTGATATACTGCCACAACCCCTGACAGTTCAGGTTGATTTTTGAATACATCTGCCCATGACTGAATCAGACTTAAAACTTTTTCTTGTACAGCTGTCGGTGGATCATTTTTTGGTCCAATCAATTTTACCTAAACAAATAAAAAGCCTGTTAAGTATTGATTATACAAAAAGTTTTTGATAAGTATATAATTACCAATTCTTGTATAAAGTCTTTGCTACAAACAAGTATGTGAAACCTTTTTCCACAATTTTTAACACATGTTTCCAGTACTGTTAAAGTATACATGACAACTATGTAATTTTTGCCAGCATTCTGTTGCAAACGTTTCCTTATAGCTTTAATTGCATCTTTGGGACCATCCTCAGTTTCGTTTACCAGATCACAAATTTCCATATTCAAAGCCCAATTTTCTGAGGCAAGGGTACTATCTGTGGCTTGTTCTAAACAACATATATAAAATGTTACATGACTAACAATATTCTACAAGAATTGCAAACTATTTTGACAGTTAAAAAACAATGTAAACAAAGTATCTATACAGTATAAAAATGGTGTAAATTAAGTTATGACCATTATTAATTTTAGGTCAAGGAATAAAAAGTAACAGGTTAAAATTACTTATATACTTTTTACGCACCAATTCGGCTTCCCACTGGACTGGAAAACGGATTCCCACCTAGGGCATTACTTAAAAAGGACATTTTTGTTAAAATTGTATGTAGATAATGTTTGGAGTGCTTTTATTTTGATATTATTTTATTTGATGACAAACAAACACTTTCTTTCATTTGGGCAACTAGCAATAAAATATTCCGATTAGTTTGCGTTTGCGAAACAGCTTGTTGGTCACAAAAATATGCATACGTCATTTGAATCATTAATTCAGGCGTGTTATCTCAACTGGTAATAAATACCATGGTATAGAAATATTTGTTATTTTATTAAAGTGAAGGAATTGAGTAAAGTTTGTTAAAAAGATATCGGTAAAATAAATTTGACTATTTTAATTATAAAACATTTAATGTAAAATTTTTGTAGTTAAAAAATTTAATGTTATTATTTGTGGTATTTGGTAGAACAGAAAAGTTCTATATTATCTATGAGCAAAACTTGCCTTAATACCAGTGTTAAATTTTCAAAAAGATTAGGCGGTTTAATTAAAATAAATTGAAACAATATATGCTTATAAAAATTAATGGTAAATTATCTACTTGATTCTTCTCAAGTAAATACAAAATGTCTCTTCGATTATTAAAAATAGGTAACTTTTGTCTTTGAACTTGGAGTGTTTGTGAATTAAATCTGTTGTAAACAAAGTCAGTGGCTTCCACTAAAGATGATTCTCTTCTGTCTAAATAACTAGAAGTCTCTGTAGGTTTCAAAAATCGAGGTTTAAAATCAATCGTTTGCATTTTATCCAACTATCTAAAAATAATAGTATTAACAGTTATCCAGAGCGTCTATTAAGATTAATGTACCCAAATATACAAATTAGTAATGCTTTAAGCAGAAAAAGGGACGAATCTTTTCTAAAAAGGTACATACGTTTATAAATTGCGTAATTTTTTTTTTGTGGGGTTTTTAATTAATTAGTATGTTTCCCAGGTTTTAACCACTTTTTAAATCTATTTATTTACTAATATAACCATAACCTTAATTTCGTTAACTGTTACCATAGACACATTCCTACATACGATATATATATTATTAAAGATTTGACATAAAAATGTAATTTTATTAAAAAAATAACTTAATTGGGTTAATTTAAAGCCGTTTTAATTAATACATAATCAAGACTGATTAATAAATTTTAAAGGAAAAATTAATTTCTGCTTTCAANAAATTAAGATCCAAAAATTTAATTTTTCAAATACAACACATTTAGAAATAATAGTGTAATGTTATTTTGTGCCTTAGTTGTTGGACTAATGGGATTTTTTTTTGATAAATGTAACTACTACATAGTACGAAAATTTTTAAAGTTCTAATCTAATCGCCAATAACGAAAATATGGGGAATAAGTTACTAAATAAAATAATATTTATGAATCTTAAAAAAAAGACTACTAATGAGATTGTTACATATAAATCTTATAACATTTTTTCTTCAAATTTTTACAATAATTGTATTTTTGAGCGTATATTTTAGAACTCGAAAAATATTATTCTGGGAAAAATAAGCCTCAAATATCGCCACCCGCGTTTCACCCTTCTATAGGATCTTAATAAAAAAAATCCTCTCGCACGCAATCATTCACCACTAATATTAATAACATACATTAATTAAAATAACTGTTAAATAAAACGAGGAAAATTAAATTACAACTCGTCTTTACGAGGTTTATCATCGTCTTCAGTCTCAGCTTCGGTTGCAACGTCGGGGTCGGCACCATCAACTCCACCCGTTTCGATAAATTTAACGATACCTTCAAATGTACGAGGTCCATTGTACGTCACAGCTTTGCGTAGATCTCCTTTCGGGTACAATTTGATTGTAGGAAAACCGGTGACTTTCGTGTGCTCCAATTCGTTGGCAGTGGCGTCCATCTTCGCGATCACCACGTCCTCATTGTCCTTGAAATGTTCCCCGACTTTGTCGTAGATTGGAACTAACTGTTTGCAGTGTCCGCACCAGGGGGCATAGAATTCAACCAAAACATCCTTTGAAGGATCCAGAGCGACTTCATCAAAGTTTGAAGCAACAAGGACTTTTACAGGTTGCGAATTCCAATCTTCAGGGAGTTCTTGTTGCAAAAGAATTGGTTTAAGTTTGCCATCCAAGAAGTTTTGTACGAACTGTTGGATATTTTCAGCCGTAAGGTCGTCGCTTTCTGGCTTATACTTGACCATGTCCTCTTCGAGTTTGATTATTCGTGCGGCGGGTGCGTCCTCTTTTTTCAAACCGAAGAACTCGAGGATGCGCTGGTGGTCTTCTTCGTCGACGTTGAGGGTGACGAAGAGAACGGTTTCGCGGAATGGACGTGCAACTGACGATGCAGCATCAGATATTTTGGCGAAATGTTCATCTGAACGGGAAAGGAAGAGCAACAAGTGGTTTTTCACATCACCTCCAAAGATCTTTTGGGCCGTGTTCGTATTAAAATCGACTACGAGAGGTAATGATTCGACAGCTACGAATTTACGGATTGCCTGGTGGGTGGGTTCGCCCTCGAAGACCGATTTTCCACCGTCGTACTACGAAAAAATTAGAACATGTAATTAATAATCTTCCGAAAAATAATAAAACACTCTAGAAGCTGCAGATGATACATAAAACAAACAAAAATGCAAATTACATGCAGATGAAGCACAGCATCGACAATTTTGTTCTTTAACTATTTTTGTAAGGAAACTTTATGACGTTTTATCTCTACATTATGCAATGAATAATAATTCAACTCAATTTACACCAGCATTAATGAGTAACAACATATCTCTGTCTCAAATTCAGTAGGAGAATTGAATTGGAATTGGCGTTAATACTTATAAGATATTTTTAAATCACATACATGTTTGAAAAGTATGATAGAATCATCTTTGGCTTGATATTTTTCAAAGAGAGCATCCGAGTTGGTTATTCCGAATAAATGATCGTCAACAGTAGTTGCCACACTCAGAAAGGCCTTCGCTGTTTCACTTGATGGGTCCTTGAAGAAACCAATTATCACAACGTTGTTATTGTCAATTAAGTCTTGCGCTTCCTCTACTGTGTTTAGTTCTTTAGCAGGAGGTCCGGTCTTCTTAATCAACCATGACACTATTTCTTCTGCCTTACGACCACCTATGCCGGAACAAATAAGGCAAATACTAAATTAAATAATTTCTTTTTTTTTTACAATAGCTTCATTAATATTAAAATTTATTAAGAATGAGAGTTACATATATATATTTTTGATACAGGACATAAAAAATGAATAATTAATTACCTGAATATATAAACAACATATAGTATATAATAAAATGCATATAACTAACTAATTGTTAGTCACACTTTACTTTTTTAATGTTTCAATATATTTATCTACAGTTTTAATTAATTATTCATTTTAGTAACATGTAAGTTTAACAAACACATCTAGAATTAATCAATATACTTAACAAAAACAAATGTGATAAGCAGTTTAAGAGTAATTAAGCAAATTCCTTATCTTTTTAAGTTGCTCTTTATCAAATTTTTGTTTACAGTTCAATAGTGTCCTTTACAACGGTTTAAAAAATGAATACTTTTAGCTACCAATATCCTTTATGAATGTTTTTTACAGTAGAGTGTGTTAGTTATAATGTATATACATTAAGCAATGTATTATATCTTACCATTATAATCTATTGCGGTCCCTTTTATAAAGAACTTAAGTGTGGGGTAGCCTCTGATTTGATGTTCTTCTGCAAGTTCGGTCTCTTCAGTAGCATCTACCTTTGCTAATTTAATATCAGATTTGTTTTCTTCGAGTAATGTGACTGCTTTAACATATTCAGGAGCAAGGGCTTTGCAGTGGCCACACCATGGAGCATCTTAAAACACACAACATAACATTCCTAGTATTTAAAGAAAAATTATTACAAAGTTGTTACTAAAAGGCCATAAATATAGTGTTATTAGCTGGCATATCTATAAAACAATACAAGTCAACACCTGATAAGTACTGCTACGTGCAGTTATTGAATTATTATCAACATTCACACAGTTGCTGAAATGTTATCAAAATTAGTACTATTATTATTGTATTCTATATAAAAAAGTTAAAAAAATAGGAGTAAATAATTAATTAGTTTGTGTACCATATGGAACAGGTTGTTTTATTCTTTTTTATGACAAATTAATGCAATTAATGACAAAATGCCGGTAGTAATAAACAATTTGTGGAAATCAGTTAAACCATGAAAGTATCAAGGTTTTCTTATGGTTTGTTAATAACTGTTAAAGGTTTAAACAAGCATTTCCTACATGACTTTAACATCGTATGGTAACAAAAACCTGCCTGACACGTTATTGCCTAAAGTAATTTCAAACCAATTTTCGAAATATGATCAAAAAGTAGGGTATGTGATTATAAATTAGATCAAAATTTGAAGGAGGGTACTTACAAAATTCCACCAAGATGAATTCGTTGTCAGTTATGGCAGATTTAAAATTGTCCCTATTGAGTACAAGAACGCCTTCGTCTAACTTAATTTCATTTTCAGACAAGGCAGGTACTGATATTGACACAATAACAAACAGAGCTAGCAAAATATTCATCTTGAAAACAATCCTAAAACGTTACTTCACGGCTGTTTAGTAAATCTTTTAATAAACTCGAAATGCCGAGCTTACACAACCCACACTTCTAACTTCTCAACAAACTAACAAAAAGTCAGAGACTAGCAAATGGTTAGAAAACCACACCAAGATGTAGGTAGGTCGTCGGCACGAAACGACAAGCAACAACGTGGCAAAAATCGTGGGGAGTTGCTATTGGTTCTCAGCATCTGACGTATTAAACTATTTTTATAAAATTCAAAAANAACAATTCATTTTTGCATCTGCATTACCAACTTACTTTCGAATGCTTGGAGAAATAGTTCGTGGTCTGCTTGTATGTGGTCCATTCTGGGATTTTTTGTAGATTCACCATCTTTTTCTCGTTTTTTTGGTGGCATAATCCTTTAAGCAAAATTGGTTAAACTTTTTCTATTATTACCGGGAAACTCTCACACCAGCATACATACAACTGGTAATCAGTAACGGCCATTACTATCACAGCAGGCCATTGCTACTTGTTACCCATTTGCTATCGAAAACCACAGATTGTTATTGGTTCAACGAGACTACCTTTCAAAATGTTTTAAAAATTTATTTCTTCGAGAATCGGCAGGGTTAATTATATAATTACACTTTATTTACATGTATGTAAGTAATTTAATCTATTATAAATCGTAAATTTATGGTCACATTAGCTAATTTTAAATTCAATGAATTACCTCTTATGTAACGAAAATAAAAAAAGTATGTGCTTTGTATTTAGAGAAAAGGGCGCCAGTTAATTTCAAACTGAAAATTGTAATATTGCTACCCATAAACAGTGGAATTTTGGCCAAAGTTTATTTATTTTGTAAAATTGCCAAAAAGTTGATGAATGATGAATGTGCTGCAGTAGAAATTAGGAAAAACCTGTAACAAAAAACCCTGATGGATGATGAAGATTACAAAGTTTCTTCTGAAATATATTCGGAATTCGATTATCGAACAACTATCGAGCCTAAGTTAAACAAAAATGGTATGTTTATTGTATAATAGGTATTCATAAAATAGATATCAAAGTGAGGTTAAATTAGAACAGTTATAAAAATAATTTCCAATAGTTTTAAAAACTTTTAGACCTAGTGTCCAGATTTCCTTTTAAATGGCCTCCAAAGTTAGCACAAACTGATAATGACGGTGATCTTGTTGTGGACAGGTCAGATTTTAATGAGCAAGACAGCAGAGCAGAATTCGTGGAAATAGGTGGGAAATTAAATACTTTTTTACAGTAAAACGTGTGATATTTATTTCAGGCTTAAAGCCATGATCTTAGAGTTCTTCTCCCATATCTTAAATTTTATGTCTGTTTAAGAACATAGTGGTAGTACTGTGCTAGGACTGGTAGGTCTCCAGGTATGGCGTGGGGCCCTGTTACTAGCCGATTGGTTGTTCCATATCAGAAAACTCCTTAAAAATAATTCTGTTATATTGGAACTGGGCTCAGGGGTTGGCTTAACAAGTATCATAGGTGCACATTATGCACCCGTGGTGTGCACAGGTAGTATTTCGTAATGTTTGTATGAAACACAACAGCTTTGGTTCAATTATTAATTGTAGATGTTAATAAGGGGGAAATTTTAAAACTTATTGAGAGTAACGTTGCTAGAAATTCACACCTGTTGGTATACCCAGTTAAAATTGTAGAGTTAGATTTCACCCAAACCGAATTTACTCAAGAGATCAAAGATCTATTACCAAATATAGAAGTAATTCTAGCGGCTGATGGTATGTTTTATCTAGATAATTATTATATTCTAATAAACGTCTTTATATTAATTTATTATAACAGTTGTTTATGACGATGAGATAACTTTAGCATTTGTTAACACGTTACAACGTTTATTATCTCATCAACCACCCCACAAGTATGCCTACGTGGCTTTAGAGAAGCGCTATGTTTTTACAATATCCGATTGCGACAGTGTGGCTCCATGTTATGATTATTTCTTGGAATGCCTTCGCAATAAAGACGATTTGGTAGCTGAAGAGATCGATTTGAATTTCCCGCAATTTTTTGAATATAATAGAGTACGAGAGTTAGTTCTATGGAAAGTTTGTTCAAAATACAAAAAATAGATAAACGTATATTATTTATTACAGGCATATTGGTTTGTTTAGTTCAGGTTTATGTATTTTTGTTATTTTTTTTATTAATAATTCAATAAAATACGTTAAATTTTACATTTTATTAATTGAAGTCCAATGTTGCCATATCGTACACTGTCAACTTACAAACCTTGACCGACTTGAAATATACTCAAAATTAAGAAAACTAATTGCATAACCCTCATAATAAGCATTAATCTTACTATAATTAAACAATTTATTAATGATTAAACATAACGGTTGAAAGTAATCATTTATTTTTAAGTTTTTGTGCGCATGCTTATGTGGACAATATTTCACTTTGTTGACAATATCGCTTATTATATTATAAACAAATAAAAAAAGACTATCTGTTCTATCAATAAAAACAAATGTTTAGTATAAGTTACGAAGTTGTTTATTATATTTGAGCAAAACATTCAACTAAGAGGGCTTTGATTTTAATAATACAACAGAAGCGCCATCTTGCTAACGTATTGGCCAGGCTGATATTTTGTTCTGGCATTTTCTAAATCGCGGTTCGTGGCTTATATTTTTTATTCGATCTGTTATTATTTGGTTATAAATACTATAATCATATTATGTATCATGAACATTTAACATTGTTTAATAAATTTGTGTGTTTTACGATTTACAATAAAATAATGGTATAATTCTAGGTAAGAATCTTTTCCCGTCATGCCATACGGCGGAAAGGCACGCAATAGTTTTATACATTTTGCATTTGTTTTACCGATCTGTATTAATAATGAAAATATCATTATTGTATTAATGCGGTAATAAACCTTTTTTTAATTTTTATTCCAGAAAAATGTGATTTAACTTGGACTTGCCTGATTAACTTCTTCATCTCCCCTCCCCTCCCTCTAGCCCGTTTGTCTACTGTGTAAGGTAGGATTTTTATATTATTTTTTAAAAACATGGAGCTTTAATTGAAATCTCCCATATATTGTCATTAATATGATCCAAAATAATTATGTAATTTAAAATTTCGTATTAAATTAGCCTTAATGTAATAATCAACAAATTATTACGACTAAAAGAACAAAGATGGCGGCATTTTCGATAACAAAAGTCAGGAGGGATAAATTAGAGACCATTTTAGGGAGTTATTTTAACAACTATTAATCGTACGGAACTTATCACAATTTATTTCCTAAAGGAGGATAAAGAGGAAATTTGTTACTAAAATGAACAATTTAATAATAATCCTAAAGAAATGTAAAATTTGGAAGGAATGACTATCCCTTCCTTAAAAACCAAAACAAGACTTTTCAGTATTCAACCCCTTAATNTTAATTACTTAAAAAAAGTACATCACCATGGCAATGTTAATTTTTACAACCTAATTCACAACATTAAAAAAACAGCTGTAACATTAGACATATTGTATACTTAGATAGATACTACAGAGAGATAAACTAATGTGAAATTGAATTTTGTTTGCAAATAAAAATGCACAAAAGTACCAGTAATATCGAAAGGAATGTTAATTAAAAAATGATGCTCTTGTTAAAAAAAGACAGAGAGAAATACATTATAATACATCTCAAAATATAATAGCAAAAAAATATACATTTGGAGATCTCTTTTAAACATCTCAAACATGAAATAATATCAAAAGAAAACAACAAACAAGATACAAAAAGGCGCACTGGAAGCACAGTCATTTTAAAGACTTAACAGAAGCCACCACATACAACTTAAATTAAGATCCAAAAATTTAATTTTTCAAATACAACACATTTAGAAATAATAGTGTAATGTTATTTTGTGCCTTAGTTGTTGGACTAATGGGATTTTTTTTTGATAAATGTAACTACTACATAGTACGAAAATTTTTAAAGTTCTAATCTAATCGCCAATAACGAAAATATGGGGAATAAGTTACTAAATAAAATAATATTTATGAATCTTAAAAAAAAAGACTACTAATGAGATTGTTACATATAAATCTTATAACATTTTTTCTTCAAATTTTTACAATAATTGTATTTTTGAGCGTATATTTTAGAACTCGAAAAATATTATTCTGGGAAAAATAAGCCTCAAATATCGCCACCCGCGTTTCACCCTTCTATAGGATCTTAATAAAAAAAATCCTCTCGCACGCAATCATTCACCACTAATATTAATAACATACATTAATTAAAATAACTGTTAAATAAAACGAGGAAAATTAAATTACAACTCGTCTTTACGAGGTTTATCATCGTCTTCAGTCTCAGCTTCGGTTGCAACGTCGGGGTCGGCACCATCAACTCCACCCGTTTCGATAAATTTAACGATACCCTCAAATGTACGAGGTCCATTGTACGTCACAGCTTTGCGTAGATCTCCTTTCGGGTACAATTTGATTGTAGGAAAACCGGTGACTTTCGTGTGCTCCAATTCGTTGGCAGTGGCGTCCATCTTCGCGATCACCACGTCCTCATTGTCCTTGAAATGTTCCCCGACTTTGTCGTAGATTGGAACTAACTGTTTGCAGTGTCCGCACCAGGGGGCATAGAATTCAACCAAAACATCCTTTGAAGGATCCAGAGCGACTTCATCAAAGTTTGAAGCAACAAGGACTTTTACAGGTTGCGAATTCCAATCTTCAGGGAGTTCTTGTTGCAAAAGAATTGGTTTAAGTTTGCCATCCAAGAAGTTTTGTACGAACTGTTGGATATTTTCAGCCGTAAGGTCGTCGCTTTCTGGCTTATACTTGACCATGTCCTCTTCGAGTTTGATTATTCGTGCGGCGGGTGCGTCCTCTTTTTTCAAACCGAAGAACTCGAGGATGCGCTGGTGGTCTTCTTCGTCGACGTTGAGGGTGACGAAGAGAACGGTTTCGCGGAATGGACGTGCAACTGACGATGCAGCATCAGATATTTTGGCGAAATGTTCATCTGAACGGGAAAGGAAGAGCAACAAGTGGTTTTTCACATCACCTCCAAAGATCTTTTGGGCCGTGTTCGTATTAAAATCGACTACGAGAGGTAATGATTCGACAGCTACGAATTTACGGATTGCCTGGTGGGTGGGTTCGCCCTCGAAGACCGATTTTCCACCGTCGTACTACGAAAAAATTAGAACATGTAATTAATAATCTTCCGAAAAATAATAAAACACTAGAAGCTGCAGATGATACATAAAACAAACAAAAATGCAAATTACATGCAGATGAAGCACAGCATCGACAATTTTGTTCTTTAACTATTTTTGTAAGGAAACTTTATGACGTTTTATCTCTACATTATGCAATGAATAATAATTCAACTCAATTTACACCAGCATTAATGAGTAACAACATATCTCTGTCTCAAATTCAGTAGGAGAATTGAATTGGAATTGGCGTTAATACTTATAAGATATTTTTAAATCACATACATGTTTGAAAAGTATGATAGAATCATCTTTAGCTTGATATTTTTCAAAGAGAGCATCCGAGTTGGTTATTCCGAATAAATGATCGTCAACAGTAGTTGCCACACTCAGAAAGGCCTTCGCTGTTTCACTTGATGGGTCCTTGAAGAAACCAATTATCACAACGTTGTTATTGTCAATTAAGTCTTGCGCTTCCTCTACTGTGTTTAGTTCTTTAGCAGGAGGTCCGGTCTTCTTAATCAACCATGACACTATTTCTTCTGCCTTACGACCACCTATGCCGGAACAAATAAGGCAAATACTAAATTAAATAATTTCTTTTTTTTTTACAATAGCTTCATTAATATTAAAATTTATTAAGAATGAGAGTTACATATATATATTTTTGATACAGGACAT